TTTTTATACATTCCCAAGACACGTACGGTCTAACTTATCGAATCGTCTAGTATGGAGACTACGTCGTCTACGAAAGCCAATACCGCGGCGTCACACCCCTCGACGGCATCAAGAAAGCCGTCGGCAAGAAAGCCAACGTGCACTACGCGCAGGGCTGTGAGCGATGGAGCAACGACGAGTCCGGCTTCGAGGAAGCCGTAGCCGCGGCCAAGAAATCCGACGTTGCTGTCGTGGTCGTGGGAACGTGGTCTCGCGATCAGAAAGAGCTCTGGGCGGGTTTGAACGCAACGTATGTTCCCTTCCTTTCTTTTCCACCTATAGCCATCATCATAGTCACTACCACCGCCTCCCTTTACTCCTCTCCATTATCCTCTCCAAGCTAACAATCCATACCCAACAACAGAACCGGCGAACACGTCGACGTCAACTCCCTCGAACTCGTCGGCGCCCAAAGCTCCCTCATCAAAGCCATCACAGCCACCGGCGTGCCCACAATCGTCGTCCTCTCGACCGGCAAACCCATCACCGAAACTTGGCTCTCCGACAACACATCCGCACTCATCCAACAATTCTACCCCTCGGAAGAAGGCGGAAACGCGCTCGCCGACGTCCTCTTCGGCGACTACAACCCCTCCGGCAAGCTCAGTGTCAGCTTCCCCCGCTACGTCGGCGACCTGCCGATCTACTACGACTATTTGAACTCGGCACGCTCGGTCGGCGATGCGGGCGCTGAGTACGAGAACGGGACACTCGTGTTTGGTCATCAGTATGTGCTTGGGTCGCCGGAGCCGTGGTATGAGTTTGGTTACGGGAAGAGCTATTCGACGTACGAGTATAAGAACGTGAGGGTGGATAAGACGAACGTGACGGATTCCGAGACCGTGACTGTGTCGGTGGACGTGAAGAATACGTCGAAGAGGAAGGGGACCGAGGTGGTGCAGGTCTATATTCAGGATGTGTTTGCGAGTGTGGTGGTGCCGAATCGGCAGTTGAAGGGGTTCGAGAAGGTGGTTATTGGGGCGGGGAAGACGCGCACGGTCAAGATCCCGATTAAGGTGGAGGATTTGGGCGTGTGGAATGTCAAGATGAAGTATGTTGTTGAGCCGGGCAAGTTTGTGGCCCTGGTGGGGAGCAGCTCGAAGGATGTTAGAGGGAATGCGACGTTCTGGGTACAGTGATTTAGGTGTCTGAGTTTGTGAGATGTTGGTTGTGGGGACTGGGAAGGTAATCGGGTATATAAGATAGTTGATATGTTAGAGCTATCAAATGAGTTTTTTTAAAGTGATTTTGTGTACTATCGTGGGGGTAGAAAGTCAAAGATACAGGGTCTGTGATGGCATCTGATATGGATGTTATAGAAGTTATATAGTCCCCCCATCTGTTCTCGGTTCGTTCCACAGAATAAGAAAGAAATCAACTTGAACATAGACACAAAGAAAAAGCAAAGAACCCCGAAGGATTTATCCTGACCTGAACATCAGAAGAATGTCCACGCTATAGCAATAACCCAAACTCCTATACTTAGCTTTTAATCGAGGCAAACCACCATAGACACAGGCTACGGGCTTATCACTGTAGTTCACGTATCAGACGTGTCGGCTTTACCATCAGAAGAATCCTTATTTACGTTCCCATTTTCATTCTCACTCTCCGGTCTTGAACCGTCCCCGGACGGAATAGGCGAGTTTATAACCTTTGCGACTGCAAGGCCAGCCGCTGCTGTATTGTCTGCACTGGATTTACTCCCCGCTCGTCGGGTCTTCGCGCCCGCTTTCAGTTTCTCCCAGCGATCTTGATGCCGATCGACCACGGTGCGCAGCTTGTCATTCTCGCGGTCGGCCCTTTCCAGATCCTTCTCGCCGCGACGGATTATGTCCTCGAGCTCTTTGATGCGCTGGTCGTGATCGGTCATGGACGGCTGGGTCGAGAGAGGCGCAGGGGGCGACGTGATTGCAGAAGAAGCCTGCGGGTGATGCTCAGGAGACGGGATGTTCTGATGATGCATAGCCTTCAGGGACTGCTGCAGGGCGATGGAGGAAGACTGCGCGTTGACTTCCCACATATGCAGCCGTTTGGACAGCGTATCCGACAGGTGTCGCAGGGCTTGGTTTTCCATCTGCAGCTCCTCCATGGTCTTGGGATTCTGCAGGTTGGTGGTGAGCCGGTCGTTGGCTCGGCCGTTCTTGCCCTTGCCGCTGCCGGTGAAGCTGTGGCGCAGCTCGGGGGATACCGGGGTCTCGCGAGCATCTACAAAGTCGTCGTCGCCTTCTTCGAGGCTGTTTCTTCGAGCTTCCCTCTCTGCTCGGCCGAGGATCCCGGCGTAGGACACTGTGCCACCCGTCGTGGGGACAACGTAGAACGACTCCGCAGGCCCTCCGGTTGGGCCACCGGTCCCACTTCCCCCGCCAGGAGAGTCTCGTATCGCCTGTAGTGCTGCCCGCGAGAAGATCCGGCTGATATCGGGCTCCGCGGATTTAGTCGAGCGACTGGAAGTTGCCTGGTGACGGTCTAGCTTTGTATCCGCGTAAGATTTACGGCTGGACTCTGCCTGCGGCGACGCATCCGACCCTAACGGAAGGCCGGCAAATGCCAACGGAGCCGACAGTTTCGAGATGAGACCCTCGAACGTCGAGTAGAACCGCTGGAAAGGCTCCTCCGTATCCGGCTGTCGGCTCCCGTGACGGGGTTCGACGGCATCGCTTGGAACATATTGCTGCGACGTGACATCAGTAGGGCTGCCCACCGCGGGAGACCACGAATTCTTCGATGTGGAAGAAGTACGGTACAGGCGATCTTTAGATGTATGGGCTTGCGCTCCACGCAGGCGGGATTCGCCCGTTCTGATTTTGGCCGGTCCATCAGTCATTCTGGCGCCGGCTTGCTGAGACGAAAGTGTCGGTGACGCAGGAGTCGCACGGCGTGGCTGCGACGGGATTCCCCGAGCGGAGGCCAGATTACTGGCGATCGATGAGGTTTCTCTTTTCGGCAATCGAGCGTGCCCGGACAATTTTGGTGGTTGTTGCTGGGCATCTTGTATGGACGGCGAAGCCTTCGGTGAGCCCGGTTCTGCCGAGAGAGGGGCATTCGCCCCGGCGGAAGGAGGATTTTCATGCTGAAATCGAAGGATTGAAGCAAGTCTCTTATGATGCTGTTCAAGCAGATGTAGCGTTCGTAATGCCTATAGCATCAAACCCATGCAACGCGTTAGTCCGAGCTTATCGGTCAGACGGAATGGATCGAAGGAGGGAGGGTTGGCGTACCTGAGGGTCGGAACTGTTCTGGGCCGCCGTTGCGAACTCCCCAGCAGCTAGGTCATGCTCCTCACTGGCAGCGACAGGATTCGATTTGCGAGTCTCCAGCACTGCATTCCGAGCATGGGTATGAGCCTTGTCGGAGGAAGGGATGTCAGGCTATGTTTAGACTAGGAGATAAGGCACGATCCACGTACCAAGGTAAGCGGAGCCGCTTCCATGACCACGAGCTGGGGCGTCCTCGGGCCCTTTCCTGGAATATCAGCTGTACATCAACCCGAGTCAGAGGGCTGGGGAGGAGATGAGGGGAATGTCAAGTTCAAAGAGAGAGAAGAAAGATAGTGGGAGTGACGCCATTCGCCGCATCGGGAAAATCACGGGCCTGGCGATGTGACGGTAACATTACGCGCATCCGGGGGTGGTATCGTAATTTTGATACCTTCAGGAGGTACCGGTAAGGTAGTAGTTTATAGGCATATGTCTATAAGTTATACAAAAGTATAGTTGTCGAGGTATGTATGGATAAGATGGACTATTGTGACTCTGTCATGTCGGGAAAAGAGCAGTTGAAAATAATTATAGCAACAAAGTCATCGTCCTAGCTCGTTAAGACCAGACTGGCATGATTGACTCTAGTCCGAGCGTGTATTAGCTCAGTCTGAAACATGGGTTTGCATTTTGCAACAGAGAAGGAAATTGTACGGAGTAGTCGATTAGGAGACTGGACTATGGGGATTATGGAGCCGGCGTGTTCGTTTAGGTCATTCCAATCTGCGAACCTCTAACTACTCCGTACTCCCTCCGGTTCGATGTACATACATACAAGACACTGAGAGGTCAACATCATTCCGATCCGGACATTATGACAGTCAATTGATTGAAGATTATGTCCGACCTTCATTGAGGTCTGTCAATCAACCATCTCATGTCTCATATATTTCCGAATCCAATGCTTTTAATATCACCGCCTGATGGATCGCCTCTGCCGCTCCAGCTATTAATAGACAGTTCTTGGCGTCCTCGCGGAGGTTCTGGACCATTCGAAATCCAAAGGTCCAGAAAATTTCCAGACGGGCCCTCAGAACCCAGGAGGCTCGAAATGCCAGGAGGAGGGTATGGATGTACTGGTGTCTTGTAGTCTTGTACCGAGTCGGTCTCTCGACCGGGCCCTTCCGAGGAGCTCCTAAGGTAGAGAGACACCTGAGGATCCAGGCACTGAATGATCCACGGATCGGCACATGACACGTGGTGCTGAATCAGCTACTCCGTCCCGATCAGGAAAGGTGCATACAGCCCGTACGCATGCCGTACGCCATCCGTACGGAGCGAGGGTAATAATACCACATTTCCTTGGGTTGCGGAGAAGCAGAGCGGCTTCTCTCAGCTTCAACCCTCATCCTTCCCCCTATTCTTTTCCTCCCTCATCTCCTCTTCGGTCCTTTGTTTGCGCCAAGGAGGACGAAGATTAAAGTGTTTTCTTGTATCCTCGAGAACTTTTTACCACCGTTTCATCCTCTGATCTCTTGTCTCAGCTGCAGCGCTTGCTAGCGACTTTGGTATAGCTGTGAACTACTAACCGTACGCGGAGCGGAACTTGACGATATTCTACCATGCCCCCTGCTATGCTCGTCAAGTCCCAGTTTGTCCGATTCGATTCCCGTTAATAAACCTTGACCTTCACACGTCTCGCTCGTGCGACTCTTGAATCCTCCGTTATTTCGTCCCAACATAATTCTCATCCAGCCTTCTATGGACCACTCTGAAATACCCGAACCCCCGCCGGTCCCCTCCCCCGAGCCAAGGGCTCCCAACAAAATCGGCCGGTCCAAGACAAGTCCCATCGACTCGGAAACGATGGATAGCTCCGGTCGCAGCAATGGCCGCTCGTCGATCGACTCGACCTCCGATAGACCCAAGTCGCAAGCCGGCGAAACCTCGGATTCCGCAAAGGCAGGTCCTAGCGGATTTTCCAAGCTGTTGGCGTCGCGACGAAAGAAGAAGAATAAGAAGGAAAGCCAGAGTAAGGTGGATGAGCTGCCGACACAATTCGAAATTGAGAATGATAGCGACGCCCAGGAGGCTCGCTCCGAATCTCGGGACGGAGCTTCGTCCGTTCTCGAAAACCCAGGCGCCCCGGAGCCGGAGGCCGTGAACTTGTTGACGGACGACTCTGAACCTGACCGGTAAGCCGCGAATCGCTCCAATTTTCTCAGGATGTCTTTCATATACGGTATCTAATGGCCACGTTTTTCTTTCTAGAACCCCGCCCCTCACAAGTCACAATTCACATAGCGGCTTCTATACGAGCTCATCGCCTCTAATTAACACCACTTCGGTAGACGTGGCTAACGATACGGATGGCGTCCAGGCCGATGTCGAGTCCGCGATTAGTGGACTAAGCGCCGCCCCTTCTCACTCGGAGTCTAACCCAGACACGGAGCTTTCCAGGCCCACTTCTCAGCCTACAGCAGGATCATTAAATATCCCGGGCGACCAAAGTAGTAAGAAGCGCGGCGTTTCCCCGGGCAGGCGATTCAGGAATGCCTTTAGTTCCAATCCCGATAAAAAGAAGGACTCCAACCGGGAACGAGCCTCTTCCACAGCGTCGGGCGAGAGCAAGAAAAGTACCGGTCCGTTTGGGAATCGCGGCAGAAAGGCCAGCGTATCCTCCAACAAGAAAGCGCCGTCCATTATCACCGAACCCGTGCCACCTTTGCCCCCTACAATTCGTACCGACCTGATAGACGACAAACCCTCGGAGTCTTCAGACGGCCCTAGTGGTCCACGAACGCCCCCTCACACAGCTCTCCCGGCTCCGCAGACCACCGTCACACCTCCCACCCCCCAGATCGAACACCGTGATCTCTTTTCGTCTCCAGACTCGTTCCAATCGAAAGACTCGCAGCCGTCGGAGATTGTCGTTAGCCCCTCGGGAAACATGATCTCTCATCGACGTGTTCGGTCCGCCTCCTCTGCCAGCCACAAACCCAGCAAACTATCGAACTCTATATCGGCTATTGGACCGACTATTGAGGAAACCAAGGTCGCTACGCGAACGCCATCCGCTGCTCAGCAGAGTGGGTTCTTTTCTTCGGTCTTCTCCGCGGCGCAAAACGCTGCGACGAGTTTTAGCAACAGCCTCAACGCCCAGTCCAAAGCGCGCGGCCTAACCCCGGCAGAAATGGCGGAAGCCGATCCTTCGTTGCTCCGGCAGGGCGATGAGGATACCTCGCTGGACGCCAACAAGAACGAAGATAGCAAACCCTCGGCCATCGACACTTTAGGCTCGGGAGACTTGGATTTCAGCCATCTGGATATCGCTATACCCCCTGGTGGATCCGTCTCGACCCCTGACGGTGTAGTCATTACCAAACCGGACCTGCCACTAGAGAAACGCAAGAACACCACGGTTCATGAACGGGACGAACAGGCCGCGAAAATTGAGCACCGACGCGCACAGCGTGCGGTTACTATGGCCTACGAAAGACCTTCCGAGGTGTCAATTGTGCCGCCGTCAGACGACAGCCTTGAGCTACGATCTAGCGTGTCACTCCCGCGAGACCCCGTCGGCGACCAAACACCCCCTCCCGGTAGTGTTCTTGATGGAGAAGGTGGTGGTACTCGGCCAACCCGAAGTGGAAGTGTTCGGAGCCGCTTAGCTCGGCGCCGTCACCGAGGCTCTTCCGGAGCCACTACCTCGACGATCGGCGCCATCGGAGCTAGTGCTATTGCGCTTGGAGTGCCAGGGGCCAACACTAGTATGCCGCGACTGACGGGGTTTGCCGTTGCTAGCAAGAAGCGGAACCGAGACTTTCATTCACTGTTCCGCAGTGTGCCCGAGGATGATTACCTGATAGAGGATTACAGCTGCGCGCTGCAGCGCGAAATCATTCTTGCGGGCCGAATCTACATCTCGGAAGGCCATATCTGCTTCTCCAGTAACATTCTTGGCTGGGTCACAACTCTGGTCATCAGCTTCGACGAGATTGTTGCGATCGAAAAGGAGTCCACCGCCATGGTGTTTCCGAATGCGATCGCCATTCAGACATTGCACGCCCGCCATACTTTCCGAAGTCTGCTCAGCCGAGAGTCTACTTATGACCTCATGGTGAACATCTGGAAGATTAACCACCCTACTCTCAAGAGCTCTGTCAATGGCACCAGGGTCACCGAGGGCACTGGCGACAAGACCGAGAAGGCTGGAGAGAGCGACGCGGAAAGCGAGGACGAGGACGAGGTCTACGACGAAGATGAGGAAGGAGATAATGCCGAGAGCTTTTTCGAGCCAGATGGCAGCTTGGACGGGAGTGAAAGATCTGCCCCCGTGAAGGGGCCCAGTCGACAGGCTTCGGGTCTGCTCAATGGCAACGGTGCGACATCGACAGCGGCCGCTGGCTCTGGCGGCGACGCGAAGGGCAAGTCGGGCGATGGAGACGGCGATACCGACTTCCCTGGTCCTGCCACTCATACTCCAACCGAATATACAGACCCCTCGGGACAATACGACAAGGTCATCAAAGATGAAGTCATCCCGGCGCCCCTTGGAAAGGTTTACTCCTACATCTTTGGGCCGGCATCGACGACATTCATGCCCAAGTTCCTTGTGGACAACCAGAAGTCTGGCGAGCTCCAATTCGAGATTGACAAGGGCGGTCTTTCCAACGACAAGAAAACCAGGAACTACTCTTACATCAAGCCTCTCAACGGGTCCATTGGGCCTAAGCAAACCAAATGTATCAGTACCGAGACCTTGGACTTCTTTGATTTAGAGAAGGCGGTTCTGGTCACTCTGAGCACGCAGACTCCCGACGTGCCTAGTGGCAACGTGTTCTCGACCATGACGAAATATCTATTCACCTGGGCTCCCAACAACCAGACCCGATTTCTCATGACTTGCACCATCGAATGGACGGGCAAGAGTTGGTTAAAAAGTAAGTTTCTTGTCATCAAGTTGGATGCAAGTAGTCGTAATGCTAATTGAATAATAGCCCCTATTGAAAAAGGTGCCATCGACGGCCAGGGCAGTTTTGGAACGGAGCTCATCAACGCTCTCAAGACCGCGGTTGTCCCTCGCCGTGCAGTTGCTAAGCCCACTGGCAAGGGCAAGGGACGCCGTAAGAAGACCGACCTGGTCGCAGAAGAAGCCGCTGCGGCGGCCGTTAAGGCAGCCAGCGAGGCCAACGCGCGAGAGGCCGAGTCGTGGGGATTCCTCGAACCCCTGCATCAACTGCTGGGCCCAGTGTCCGATATTGTGAAGCCCCTCTTGAGCGGCAACATCGCTCTCATGGTCATTGGAGTTTTGCTCCTCGTGATCTTCTTCCGAGGCTCGTCGCGATCCAGCTCGGTAGTATCGCATGACATCGGCTGTCCCGGCTACTCGTTACCACAACGTCTAGCTGCCTACGAGGAGATGTGGCGGAGAGAAGAAAGCGAACTCTGGAGCTGGCTGGAAGATCGGGTCGGCATGGATGGCATGGCCTTCCCGACGGTCAACCGACCGGTTGAGTCGCAGACCCGGCAACGATCTCGCAAGGTCCCAGGTGACCGTCAGGTTATTGACATGCTCGGCGAAGAGAAAATGTCCGATCGAGAAATGGGCCATGCCATTCGCACGACGCGCGAGCGACTCGATAGCCTGGAGAAGATTTTGAACCAACGCAAGCTGCAATCTGCCACCGAGCAGGGTGCAGAACATACCGAACTTTAGGTTTGATTCGAACCTATACCCCGATGAACTCAACTATGGGTTCATCTGACATTCTTTGTCCGTACCTACCATTTCCTTTCCTTTTTCCTATCTCTAAAATCGGTGTCGAAAGTTGCGTCTATCCGGATTTTCACCTAAATCTCCTATCCCTCGTTTAACCCATCCAGTCAATCAGCGATTGACTCGATCACTGCTGAGCAGTTCTCTATCTCCAGTTTTTCTTATTTCTTGTCGAATTTTTCTACCGTTGATAAATTCCCTTTACCTTGCCTATGATTTCTGTATCTGCAATCGGCACCTATCATCATCTGCTTGAAAGCGAGAGTGTGTTTGTTCCTCAGAATCATCAGATCATATCGTGTACATGAGCGCCAACTACATGTCTATATCAACTCACTAACTAGCCTATCCTATCCTATCTTTTTTCTCTACTTTGTTTCTCTCCTTGTTTTATAAGCCTAGAGTTGCTTTGTCCTTTTTCTCTTTTCGCACTAGTTACCTAGTTAGCTCGATAGTTATTAAGATAGGTATCAGCTACCATTCTCGGCAATGAAATCTGATGTGGACTAATTAGATGCTATAATAGTGCCTATACGTCGCTACTTTATGTACTCTTACCTACCATTTCTCGATGTGCCAGGAATTCCGCGTCGATGCAGCCCGTGGAAGATCTTCTCTTCTACATCCATCTTCATGATCATCCCAACGAGATCAATTCATTCGTTTGATTACTACGATAGCCATCCCTGCTTCTCTATGTCAACGGAGTCATTGGGCTCCCATATCTCGTCTTCTCTCTTCGTTTCATCCAATGTATCGTTCCCCGTTTTACACATAATTGATGAACAATGGACTCGTAACGACCTTTGCGCCACTCCATTCCCTCCCAACGAAATAAACCGAACGAGTTTTACCTTATTCAGCAGGATTTCACCCGTCGAGGCAGCTCAATGTCCGGTATAGCTTCAACGCGAACAAAAAGCCCAGCACCGCCACGAATCTCGATCGATTTGCCATCCGACGCAGAGACCAATTCCTCCCACGTTGTCTCGAATTCGAAATTCGGCTGAGGCTTGTGCGGGTTTCCAGCCAGCGCATCTCCTACTTTGATGTACCCACCGAGCAAGCCACGGATCGACACGTTCGAGGGAGTCTTGTCGCTCTGAAGGTAGATATTCACGCCGTCAACATCGCCACTAGTTTTGCTCGCGAACTCGACAGTCTGGGATCCAGAGACCCGGACAACATCTTCCGGGTTATCTTCCAATCCTCCAAATGGCTGTATACGTTCCACAGCAGCATCTTGGGAAAGAGTTATTTGCCCGTCCCAGATTGCTTCGCGATAGCGGTCGTATAATCGTGCTCCATCCCATGTGATTCTTGGAACCTTCTTCTTTTCTGCCGCTGTCTTTTGCTCTTCAGCTTCCGACCAGAAGTGCCGGCGCCAGAGCAGACCTGACGCATCGAAGGCTTCGATGGACGAAAACCCCCGTTCACCGAGGGAATGGTACTCCAGGTCTGGGGCCTCGGTAGACGAAACGTCGATCTCATCGCCCTGTATCGCAAGGTCGCCCTTTTCCGTACGAGTGGATAACAGACCGACGAGGCGCTGACCCGTGGTAGCGAAGGTATGTCGTGACTGTAAGGAGCTAGCCACCGTCTCGATCGAGTCAAGACGCGAGGATACCCGTGAGACCTCCTCGAGTGCCGAAGACTGCAGTACCGGAAATGCCCCCGCCGCAGCGTCCGCGATGCTCATCTGAATTAGCAGATACGCCGAGCTTCCAGCCACGCTGAACGGCGTCTTGAAGAAGCCACTCAAACTGACCCCAGGCACTACCGATCTCGACGAGCCGCTCCAGTCAAGGATGATGCCAGGCAAGGTTACAGCGGCGGCCGCCGACGTGGGGGAGTAGGAGGTGTTTATCGGCGTCTTGGGCGTAGATAGCGTAGACCTCGTCTAGTGGCTACGCTCCTGGCAGGAGATCTTTGGGCCCATGCTCCGACCTTTCAAATGACCGCGCGAGTTTCTCCTGGCGATCATATGGGAACGCAGCAGGAGATTCCTCGGAATCGTCAAGGAAGACCACGTTATGATCACCCCCGGCGGCTGAGTTACCGCACCACTCGGTACCAGGATAAATGACGAATTTCCCGGGCTCGTTCAGGGTCCGGATCAGGTGTGTCGTGGTGATTCAGTGCTCCTTTGTGATTTGGAAGTCGTTCGCTGTGTATCCGAGGACGTCCAGGCCGGCGATCTCACGACCATAGGAGAAGTTATAGACAGATTTTTCGGTGCCCACGGTGTCGTCAGAGTGAACGTGCAAATCGCCGAACAAAACCTTAGGGATGGTCAAGTCGGAGGACACGCTGTTGTGAGAGATGTTGGATTGCACAATTGGCCCGTCTGGTGTTTCCATAGAGAAATCGATTGTGTAATCGCCTTCTGCGGCCAACTGGATGTCAGAGATAACGTTTGTCCATCCTTTTTTGGCACCGGGATCTCCTTCTGAGAAAGGACTTTGGAGTTCTCGGTGGATATTTGCAACTTGAAGAGCAGGTCTTTTGAGGTCGCGAGTCACATTTCCCATCTATCCTCGGCGTGCGCATGAATTGCGAAAGGTTCATTGGGCTGGACCAGTCTCCGCGAGACGGACTGGATGTGATGAGGGGGACCAGCAACGATGGCCCAGGAAATATCTGGCTGAATGGGAGCGAACCGGCTGTTGGATTTCTGTTAGCATCTCTTCATCTGACCATGTCGCAGCTACTCACGAGGTTCCCACAGGATCAATATACAGCCTCCATCGAAAGTCCTTCTCGATGAAAGTCTGTACGCGCGTGCCCTTCCCACCGAAGTGACGATCGCCCAGTCGAATGAGAATCCGATCTCCGGGATTCAAATAACCATCCCGGACATCCACGATGACGGCCTTCTGGAAGGGTCTCTCGTGGCCCTTCTGATCGAATCGAATTCCCAATGACCCGACAGTGGCAGGCGTCTGTCCCCTCACCAACTCGGTCGTCACATACTCTGCGCTCACGTAGTTGTCCTTGGTCGGGTCGGAGGTCTGAAAGAGAGCCCAGTCCGAGTAGAACTTGAACGTCGCCTTGATCTACTATCACCGCCAAGATTGTTCCTGTCCCGCCATCAAATCCTCCGGTTGCTCATCTCGTCGGCCATTCTCCGAAACGGCAGCGGACTTCTCTATTCACAGATTCATCATGTTCAATAATGTCCCACATCCAACCCTTCTTTTTTGGAGTGAGTGTTTAGATTTACTCCATGGCCTGACACGGTACCAATATCCTTGGTTACAATCAAGCCAAAATGCTCCGTATTCGAATGCGGGATCTGAAGGAGGTCGCTCGAAACGACGACAACCTCAATCGATTCCTCAGTCTGGCAAGAGTCTACTTGCCCAGGCTACCTAGGGCTACTGCAGAGTACTTAGCAGCCAAGGTACCAGTGGTACAATGGTCTCCCAAATATTCCTTGTCATGGCTATGGAACGATCTGGTTGCCGGTAGGGACCCTCGATCGCCGTTCTGTGTCTATACAACAGCTGAAACGCAACAGGAATCACTATCGGAATCCTCCTGGTCTCTCAAGGTCTTGCCTACGCCAAAGTCGCCAATATCCCTGCCCGCTATGGCCTCCTCTCTAGCTGGCTGCCAACCCTGATCTACGCCATTATGGGAACGTCTAAATATGTCACCGCCGGCTCGACGGCCATCATGGGTCTGCTCACGGGGGAAATCGTCACGGATCTCGTTAAGGAAGGCTACGCAGCCGAATCTGTCGCCACGGCGGCCGCATTCTGGGTCGGCATCTACTCGTTAATCCTCGGACTCTTTCGGCTCGGCTTCCTCCTCGAGTTCATCCCGCTGCCTATCCTCTCAGACTACGTATCCGGCGCCGCCATCACCATCGTTCTGCAACAGCTGAAGGGCCTCTTCGGCGAGGGAAAGTCTGCCAATGACACCGCCAGCGTGATCCGGGTGTTCTTCCAACTCCTCCCTTATACCAACTGGCGGGTGTTCCTGATGGGGTTCTCCAGCATCGTTCTGCTGCTGCTTCTGCAATTCGTCGGCCGCAGATGGGGCAAAAAGTATCGCAGTCTGTGGTATCTTTCGATTGCGCGCAACGCTCTCGCTCTCATCATCTTCACGGTCATTAGCTGGGGAGTGAACAAGTCGCGCGCCAACGATCCCCTATTCGGCATCTCCCAAGTCACCGGTACTGGCATTATTCCCCCGTCTGTGCCAGACTCCCCACTCCTCGTCAAGACCGCCGGCCGCAGCATTGCCGTCTTCCTCACCGCAGCCCTCGAACACCTCGCTATCGGCAAAGCATTCGGCCGTCGCCACGGCTACATCATCGAACAGGACTAAGAACTCAGCTACATCGGCGTCGCCAACCTCGTCGGTAGCTTCTTCGCCAGCATGCCCGTCACGGGGGGGTTCTCGCGCACGGCCGTGAACTCAGAATCTGGCGTGAAAAGTCCCCTAAGCGGACTCGTCACGACGGCCTGCGTACTTGTCAGCATCTACAAGCTCACCGATGCATTCTACTGGACCCCCTCGGCGACGCTGGCCGCTATCATCATCGTCGGCGTGTGGCAGATCATCATCCCCGTGCGGGTCTTCTGGCATTACTGGAAGGCCTCGTTTGCTGATTTCGTCGGCAGCATGGTCGCCTTTTGGGTGACGTTTTTCGTGGACGTCGAGACCGGTATCGCTGCCGCTGTCGGGTATAGTATTGTCTACGTGTTTTTGCAGCTGGCGTTTGCGCCGGTAGATCTGGTGACGAGTGATAATTATCATCAAATCTAACCGCAGTCGACTTCTGGCTCTTGCTCTAGTTCTGGCACGGCTGCAAGGGGATTACCTCCGAGTCTGCCAGATGATACGATGGTCTTTGTTCTTCGCGACTCGGTCCTTTATCCGAATGCGGCGCGTGTTGCCCGACAGATCACAGAACATACGTACTTGATTTTCTCGCCAGGTCGAAGCCTTTCTCTTTCCGTTTTAGTGCTCACCCCTCGCCGCTTTTTGCTCACTGAGTAGACCTGAGCACGCCCTAAGCAGCCTGAGGCAATCACTGAACACGGGGTAAATCGGAAGACTGAATGCCCTGAGTGAGTAACCTCAATAAACTGCACTCCAACTAGCGGTTTTTCCCTTGCCTGTTGTTTCACTCCGAGTTCACTTTTGCCCGCCACACTCCCCAAAAAACCCAGTACTGCTATCACGAAAATGACGAATCAGGGAGGCTTTTTTCCCTTCTGATATCTACGACCTTTTTTCTAGGAAGAAATGCTGTACTATCGCGCTGTACCAATATAGCCAACATTGTTCTGGGCTTTCTCCGTCGAAAGACAGCACAAGCCCAGATATTTATAGGAACGGCCCTGGATATCCCAAGAGTCAAGGAATTCTCGGAATACCAATTAACGCTAGTCTATTATAGATATATTTTGAATTTTGATCCCAAATACCTACTGGTAGAATGGCATGCCAATGTTTCCCTATCAAAATGCATAATACTGATTAAAAGAATAAGATTCGAAAATGAGGACGTAGTGTTGATTATTTGTGGCTATCCTGGCCTGGAAGGCTTGCTAACTACAGTATAAAGTTATAACAGATTCATTCTAATCGGGTTAAATTCCTTATATAGAGCCTTATTCTTTCTTGTCTAAGCAATCTGCAGACATTGCTAGCATGATAGTCGATACGTAATACATGTGTCAGTAGACGTTATACGAAATATTCGCACGGAAATCACTGAATGATATTATAGCCGACGCATGATAGTATAGAGGAACCGTAGATCTTAGAAAGCCCAAACTGGCTCTTGGGATCCTCACTGGTTTCCAGAATCTCGAAGTCCTTGAACAGAACCCATTGACTGATTTATAAAATAAATCCCTAAAACAGAAAGATAATGTATCGAGACTATTTAAACTCGCAAAGGGCACTCCAATCTAGCAGTCTCGGTCAATCCTTCTCAAGTAAAAAGTCTCCAGTTACTTTCAATTTCTTCATGAATAGCCTGTCGAAAGAGAAGTCTTTTGGAGTACGTTAGAAAATGATTTGCGGTTCGATATATTTTACTTGATCGTCGCTTCTGGTACCAGTTACGGGCCTTTGTTTCGGACAAGCCTTTGATGTTTGTTGCGCAAGGTAAGTGTAATCAGAGTAGACGCGGTAAATCTTTATTTTGTCAGTTTCGTTCATTCTTACAGAATGTATAGACGGTGCGAGAGAATGCCCAGTGTATCCGTGGCTCTAAGTTAAGAGCTGTATTCTGAATTAAAGAGGTTACTTTAACGGAAATCTGTGGTCCCTTGTATCGTCATAACCCCAATTAGTTAGTGACTTGCCTGAATTAATGCGCTGACGTGTTGTGCCTAACGGCAATATTCAAGTATCTACTATCGCTATATAGGTTTTCTAGACCTTACATGTACCGCTTTACCAGGGCGAACTTTGAGCCTCGGCGAGGCCAATGAAAGCATTTATGCCTGGGTTCGCTTCCTACCTATTCCCTTATCTGGCGGCTGCAGAATTTTGCGCTGTATTATACAGTTCCGTCAGCGCTCCGCTGATAAAAACTATTACGCTTTTTTCTCTTCCCTGATTGGTACTTGCCCCTAGTTGCGTTCGTGGTGCAACTATAGTAAGCTTGCAAATGAGACAGGTAACACTTGTCTACACATAGTCCCATTTCCGCTAAGAATCTCGCAAAAGCTGGCAATGCTGAATTCAAGGATTATAATTATGGGTACATTGCTGATGCCGTTTCCACTAGCCAAGTGCTTTGTTGCTTCTTCTCGAGCTCAATTGCGACGAGTTGTAGTGAAAACGATGTTGATGGTCTCCAACTGACACTGCGGGTTTGGTAGGAGGGATTTGTGGGTTTGACGCTGCCATACACAGTCCTTCTGGTGAATGTTAAGAAGCTCTAATGAGGGCATTGGGTGGGACCTCGGCTTTGCAGGTGAAACAGAGAGAGAGAGAGCGATATCATCGACTGCGTCAGGCTTCGGGTGGTAGGAACAATCCTGAGCGAGCTGAAGAGATGTAATACATGTACCTGTTATTGACCGGCTGTGTTGGTTGAATACGTGGTCGAAACGCAGAAACAAGATCTCGCGTTTCGACATTAGACGATTCGGTTCGGTAACAAGGTGAGGCGATGGGTTAAGTGAGAGCTTCAGATTGGGCTGGGCCCGAGTTAAAATTATTATGGCCTCAGGGTCCAGGGGTTGTAATTTCATCCCTCTCTATTCTCTCGCAACTGGCAGATTTTCCGTGACAAGCCGGCTGCATTATGACATACTCTTCTTTTCGTCCTTCCTCGCCGGCTGCTTAGATCCCATTATACATACAGAGCCAGTGGTGTTACGAACAGCTACGCTGACGATAGGGAATCGCAAGAATGTAGGATAGGCATTGAACGAAGAAGCTAAGCTAGGTTGTGAAGCTATTCAGGAGCTGATCACGATATGTGTGGGACAGCTCTGACGCTAGTCCCGATCGGATAGTTAGGTCATAGGGCATCGCGAAGGGACGTCTTTGGAGGCAGGTCACTGTTCGTGACATTCTCAGCCGTATTCGGCCGCCACTACAGGCAGCCCTCCTCATCATTGCGGTATATGTTCGTCAGATCTCTCCCATTCTCGTTCATATTGTTATATCGGTAGATTAACATACTGTCTAGGCCATAGTATTATGCGTCTACCGCCTTCTATTTCACCCCTACACCAGATATCCGGGGCCCTTTCTGGCCAAGATATCAAATTTCTATGCTGCCTACCAGGGCTGGACGGGCAGGATCCACGTCGACATGTGGGAGTGTCATGAACGTTACGGCAAAGTCGTGCGGTACGCCCCGAATCGAATCTTAATCAATTCCGCGAGGGCCGTTAACGATATCTACAACTACAATGGATCCTTGCTAAAATCACAAGCATACGATGCATTAGTCCATAAAGCCCCAAATATTCTAACTTTGAGGCATAAAAAGCTGCATAACCGCAGACGGCGCGTGTTGAGCCAAGCCTTAAACGACAACAGTATCATGGCTTATCAGCCGAGGATCCTCGAGAAAATGTGGAAGTTTGTCAGAGTACTCTCGGATATACCAGAAAACGATGAGGAAGAAAAATGGTCGGCACCCATTGATGTCGCCCGTTTGTGCGACTATCTCACTTTTGACATCGTAACAAGCATCGTCTTCTCAAGTAACTGCAATATGCTCGGAAAAGAGGAGCATAGAGGAGCCGTGGACGCTATTCTCAATTCCAATGTCCGCATGGCTGTCCTGTTCCAGTACCCTGCCCTCCGATACTGGAAAATTCACAAACAATTTTTCCCAGTAGCAATCGTTGCTCGTTCATTCCTTATCTCCTTCGTCACTCGACTCCTCCGTGACAGAGCCAAGCTTGCGGAACGCAAAGGGTTCACTTTTAACGATTTGTACTCCTTTCTGGCCAAATCGAAGGATCCGGAAACGGATCAGGGCTTTTCTCCAAACGAACTGGCTGCCGAGGCTACAACGCTCATTGTTGCCGGCGCGGACACCACATCAACCGCCATTGCGGGAATATTCTTCTATCTAGCCAAACACCCTGAGTATCAGGAGCGTGCCAGGGTCGAGGTAAAAGAGTGTTTTTCTCGTCCTGAGGAGATTGTTTTGGGGGGCAAGCTAAGCGCCTGCAAGTTCCTTTCAGCATGCATCAACGAGGCGATGCGTCTGTCTCCTCCGGTCGGCTCGTCATTATGGCGAGAATCGCAGTCAAATGGTGTCATGGTGGATAACGTCCCCATACCGCAGGGGTACGACGTTGGGGTAGGTATCTGGAGTGTGCAATACGATCCAAAACATTACTACCAGCCGTTCGCGTATCGGCCAGAGCGATGGTTAGCTCAGAGCCAGCCTGCACGGGATACAATACTCGCCGCATACCTACCCTTCTCGCGCGGCTCTAGGAGCTGCATAGGCAAGAGTATTGCCACCGCGGAACTGATGCTAACACTTGCAGTCGCCCTCTGGAAGCTAGAATGGAGGTTTACACACGATGCTGCACCAGACAAGGATGAGAACTTCGAGGTAAAGGAACATATCACGGGACAGAAAGAGGGGCTCAACCTGCAGGTCCGTGTACTTCATTAGACAAGTGTGCGCACACATCGATCTCTGGGAAAGTATTCAAAAGACCAATTAGTTTGGAGCCTCTGGGGGGCCTTTCGTGGCCCTGTAATGTAATTAACCAAGATTGGAAGGACAAACCAGACCCTAACCGACCCCGGAGGCCTTAGCGCAGGGGTCAGTTAGTGCTTTTATGTAGGACTTTCAACTAAACCCATTCCCACTTCCTTTTGCGCCCCACTGGAAGTCACGCAATACAACACGGCTTTCAAGCTCAAATCATATCTGTTCAGATATTGTTCGAATACCCCAGCAAACTCTGACAAATTAGCTTTGCAGTCACATGTACTATGGTAGCATAAGGACCGATACACGTATTACCTCGTAGTTGAATACGGTACAAACAATAATATTAGAGGATTAGAGGGATCAGTATCAAAGTGCTTCGAAATCGCGCCACCCGCCCACATCGCTGCTCCAAAACAGAAACTGCCTCCGGATTTCGCTCACCAGCGATTCCGCCTCAATAGAGGTCTTCGGCCGACTCTAAAGATCCGCTCTCTCTTTGCTCAAGGAAGCTACGGAAAAGCTCATGCGATCGCAATTCTTAACAACTAAACATCCTCCAAAAACAAATTATCTCACGCTGGCGGTTCTACCTGAGTACCTCTAATAGACGCTCTTTGTTTACATGTTGTTTATTTTTGTGAGGAATATGTGCAAATCATAAGTGTTTGGCATATAGATAGATTTCTCATGACAATATGATCTCACGACTGAAGGTCGTTATATAATAGACTGAATCTCAGCTAACTCAAACATTGATGATTAAAAATGTGTGCGAATTTGACACACGCACTCATAATAGGTGTTTTACCTAATATTCAGTTGGCGTACTGCGCGGCCTGGCTAGTCAAACCGCTCCTCAACAAAATTTTTCACCTTGCCGCTTCCAGGGACGAGTATCAGATGTTTTATGTCCACATATTCAATCGCCAGGGGTGCTATAAGGCCTGCATCTCTGTTGAGTATCCAACTATGCAATATCTCGGCCAGATGACCTTCCATAGCGTCTCTGATCATTGGAGAGTTATCTGGTGTGGCAATCGCAACTCTAAGTACAAGCACATTCTGTCCGTTGGCACGCCGGACCACGCTTTGGAATGGGATATCTGGAGAGAGATGTATCCCAACTAATGTTTTCAGGACCGGCAAGTCTAGGATTGTCGTGCTTATTTTTAGGGCCACCTTCTCCCGTCCATACAGCCTGAAAGTTCTTCGCTCATAGTCTTCCCAGGCTGCAATATCACCTACGGGGTATCTGATCAATGGCTGAAGCCGTTTGATCAGGTGTGTAACAACAACAGAACCCTTTACTCCCGGTGAAATAATGGGCAAACCTTGTTCGTCGACGATCTCCATGTATACCGCGGGCTCTAACACTTTGTATACAGGCTTGGTGTCATCATCACCGCCAGGCTGCGGTGGGTGTGTTGGAAGGCCGATTGGTCCGCACTCTACGGATCCATACAGGTACGGAGCAATAAGGGCGTTGGGATACGCCCGGTTCCAAAGTGGGCGCACATCTTTGAAGAATTACTCGCCGGTGAATAAAATAAGACGGACGGTCTTCAAGGTGCGCTGTTGCTCAAGCAGCCATCCTGCTAGCTTACTCGCAGAGTAGATGGTAGTGAGGATTACAGTTGCCTCAAATTTGTCCATTGTATCTGCCATCACGTCCTCTGGTTGCTGCCCGCCAATGGGGAGCTGGACGTTGTCGATTGGCAGCTCCATGATCGCAGTGTTGTTGAACATGAAGCTCCCGTACATGCCGCCCATGGGGCTAAGATTGGCAATTCGGTCACCGGGGAGGATCCCGCTAGACACGGAAGCGACAGTCGCTTTAATACTGCAAATGCGCTGAAGCTTATCACGGGTGTAATAAACGAATTTTGGAGCACCAGTGGAACCGCCAGATCTCATTACTACACCATCTCGGAAGGGCTTCGTCAGGATATTGTCAGCAGAGGCCTTTCCTGCAGCCCAGTATGCTTCAGCATCAGTCAAGGGAAGACTGGAGAAGGGGACATCATGTGGTAGATGAGATAGGAAGGCCTTGTAGAACGGAGATTGTTCGCGGACAAATGGCACAAGATCTGGAGGAACACGTTCAGTCCGCCATAGAATGCCCCTTATCTGCGAACCACCACTTGCAGTTTCCGCTTCCTGGGCGATGTTCGCCGCAATATGCCCACTGGGGACGTCATCCTGGTGGAAAGCCATAACAGCAGAGGAATACAAGTATCACTTCAAAGAGGTTAAAGATGTGTAATGTTGTTCTCCCTAATATTTAACTCCATGCATACTATCTACGTCGGTGGCAGTGCTTATAGCTGGTGTCTCAAACAATGTCCTTCCTTCTGCCGAGGTTTCTAGTTAGTACTTTCCGACCAGCTCGGTTCTAAGCATCGTTAAAATTAGAACACACGGAAACCCCTCAACTACTCAAAAGCTGGATAAAATCTCCATCCGTGTAGCCCTATTCTCTTAACGTTGTGATTTGACATTAGCCTACGTATGCTGGGTTCCTAATTAAATACTTTACAGTACAGCGCATATAAGCTACAGACGCGAGGAATAATCCCTGTTTCTAATACTAAATACCTAGAGGATGGATAGTACAAAAAGACAATCACAGATAATCAAGTATTATGGTACCATTAAAGAGTAAGCCCGGCAGAAATCCGACTATCACCTTCACGATGTAACTGTGATTGACCATCCTTGATAAAAAAAATACCTTCCGAGTTTACCGACTTTACATCCATCCCTGCGGTGTCGCAATTGCTCCCAACCTCAGTTAATATTAAAAGTACACCTAAAAAATAGGCAGATTAGGCTTTTAGATACTTTTAGACTCGTGATTTACAAAACCTCGCCTTCTATGTTATTGCGATGAAAGGCCAGGCTGGATTATACTTCTTACGGGGTCTAACCCCGGCAACCTTCGGGCAGGTAGACTACTAGCCTAACGCACTAATAGTCTGTGTGGTATTGAATTGTCTCAGTCTCGTGCAAGGATTCCCATCCCGAGTGCGGTACTATCCTGAACACACGCTATTGCTGGTTACAAGGTCCCAGATAGGCATTTGATATTATTCTAACACTCGTACGAACCCGTCTGAGGGCAAAGGATAGAAAATAAAATAACAGCAACTCCTTTAAGTCGTGAATCTTGGTTCAGTCACTGGGCTCCTGCGACTTTTCCTCCTCAATCCTGAAATCCCAGTACTATGGAGTTCACGCAATTCGACCGTAATATGTCCATGAACCCTCTCCCTCGGTCCAGCATACCAGAAGCCAATAAAGAAGAGGCAATTAATTCTTTCAACGATGAACAATCAATTTCCATTGCCTGTCTTGCTTGGTCAAACAGCGACGAGGCGTCCAACGATTTCCGTTCGGATTATTGTACCAAACCTACTTTCCCCATGCTCCTTGCCATCATTAATACATCCCTTGGCGACGACGTAACTGAGGAAGACGCCACAACCAATTCGTTTCAGGATTACGTAGCTAGATTGCTTGGGCATGAAGCCGCACTTCTGGTTTTATCCGGCACAATGGGTAACCAGGTGTCTTTTCGGACTGCTCTGAGTTCTCTTCCTTACTCCATTCTGGCCGATTATCGAGGTCACATCATCCACCTTGAGGCTGGGGGTGCGTCCACTCTTTGCGGTCCTCTCATCAAGCAGGTCGTTCCAAAGAATGGCTACCACCTCACGCTCGAAGACATAATAGAGAATAGCGTCCTCTCCGAAACTCCCTACGACTGTCCGACCAGAGTGATCAGTCTGGAGATCCCACTCTCAGGCACGATCATGCCCTTGTCAGAGGTGCAGGCTATTTCTCGTTGGGCCCGTGCTCAAAACCCGCCCATCCATATGCATCTAGATGGAGCCCGTCTCTGGGAAGCAGTTGCCTCAGGAAGTTACAGCTTGCACGAGGTTGGAGAGTGCTTCGACAGCATTCAGCTGTGCTTGACTAAGGGGCTTGGGGCTCCCATCGGGAGCGTTGTCGTTGGGAGTTTAACCTTCATCAAGCGGGCACGGTGGATTCGGAAGTTCCTCGGCGGTGGTCTGCGGGCCGCTGGCGTGATTGCTGCACCAGCGAGAGCTGCAATCGATGATGTCTTCTTTGGTGGGAAGTTGGAGGCAGCTCAGGATAAGGCCAGAAGAGCCTCAGCCCTTTGGGAAAATCTTGGAGGGAAGCTCCAAAGACCAACGGAAACGAATATGGTCTGGCTTGACTTTGAAACCTCTGGCGTTACGCGTGATGACTTCTACCCTTTAATGCGCCAAGAAAATCTGAAGGTCATTGAGCATCCATTCATGAACGAACGGATCGTCTTTCACTACCAGATCAGCGATGAGGCGCTTACCAAACTCTGTAGGGTATTTAAAGCTGTACTAAATGCTCCTATCTCAAACACAACAGTATAGGGCAATATGGATCCGCCGAACCGCTCACTATAAGCTAAGAAGAGACATTACTTCTTCAGACTGCAACATACATTATTAGCTAGTTGTTGGAGAGCCAACTTGTATCCCAATACCTAGTTAGATTTGAATTTTAGTTACAAAACGAGTACATTCATATTGTTTGGTTTTCCTCAAACTTTCTCGTAGCAGGGTTGCTCTCGGAGTTGTAGATAAAGATCCCATGATTTTCAGGAAATCTTCTAGCGCGGCTGAACTGCTAGTTTGCTGCCTATGTTTCTGGAAAGCTCCAGCAGTGAAACGTTGAATTTTGCAGGTTGTTCAAGGTAACTCAAAAGCAGGAACCCCGTAGCGTTCCGAAGATACCCCCCTGCCCTTGGTACCCTTGCATTCACAGGCCTCGCACCAAAGGGAAGGACCAAGTTCTTGAATAGGCTTTGTTGTAATTAAAGCGAGTACCCAGAGCAGAAAATGATATGCTTGCATCTGCCTAGCTTGATGTAACATATGGCAGGGGTTGCTTTTTCTGGACTTTGCCGGCCTACAATGTGTTTACAGGCACAATATCGCTCAAGTCTCGCAAGGCGATGCTGTGCAAACCGGATAATCATATGGGTAGACCCTTTTTTTCCCCCTTAGATGAGTGTCCAATCACACTTACTTTCTTTCGCTAAACGCTTGCATACAGGTACGAGTTGGTCACATATGTTACTCCTTTGTCTCCAGCGGCTTCTAAAAGTTGTATTTACCATTCTCACAGGTTTTTCTTGTTCGATTGTATCCTATTGGCCCTCACTTTGAGACTCTCAAACGCGACAGTGGTTTCATAGTATGAATTTGGCATATATGACTTGGTGCGGCGTAAGAGCCAGTCGCGGTATAACAGATGTGGTGCACCTTTTGATCGTACGATAATGTCGAGTTGCCAAGCATCTCTTTTGCATTACTAAACATATTTTCCTATTCGATTCTAAGCGCTGGAAATGACAGTGAAAATAAATTTTAAAGGAAGGCCCGAGAAAGAGAAATAGACGAATAATGAGGTCGATTGACAGAGATAGTCCCATCCTCACCCTATCATAGATCAGTCGTTTTTCTCTTTTAAAGAAACCAGGAGATCCTCCAAAAGTACCATACTACGCCGCAATTTCCCTGATTGGTTTCCATTACCACAGCCGTTGGACGCGATTGGATTGTTTATTCTGGGTCCAAATTAGTGGGAGATAGTTAACGCCACGCAACGGAATAGTGTGCATCCATAACTTTAGCTGCATTTCAGTCATGTATGGCTTTCGCCCCAACAAGCAGATTTTCAGCAAGGGCGGGACCTACGTAACAGATATTATCCAAAATTATGGCTACCACACTCTTGAAGTACTTTTGAATCTAACAGTAATTTCTCCACGACTGGGTGAATGTTAGCACCCTCAGTTAGCGTGTCCTTCACTATAAGTACTTTCTAACTGGCGCGTTATCCAATATCTTGAGCATCAATTTGCCTTAGCTCCGAAAACTTCACATACCCGCCAATAAGATATATCTTTCGTGTGGATTAAAATACTTTCTACGTCGGTTGACCGTTCGCGAGTGCGGGTAAGCGGATGGGAAGAGAAAGCTAGCAAAGACATTAACACCAATCCCCGGAAACATAGGTTTCCCGCTAGCTATATAGCTCTGATACAGTTCAACCTGCTAATAGCTATCTCTGTCATACCTTCCCTCAGTGAGACCATATTTTGCTTAAGGGATAAGGTAAAACATATCAGAGCCCACTGTGTTTGGATCCGGCCGTTGTACATTATCTCGAGTAATCCACTGGTGTCAAGATAAATAAAACGTATGGGTAAACGACAAGGCTAGAATGGCGTGGTATCTATGCTGAAAAGGAACATCTACGTTTACAGCCGGAATTTCCTCCTTTCCCCCTTTGCGCTATTGCGATTGTTGGAGTATTCCCCATAGAGGCGAGTCGGGAATCATAAGGTGACAAATCTATGACTGCCCCTCATACATATACGTAGACCGTAGACTAGGAAACCAAATGGACAACTGCATAATGCAGTGGCCAATCACCCCATGAAATGTATCGTCCGCTCTTGCTGAGCTCTGTGGGCCCATTTTTGGACGAGGCTGGAGACGGGAACATGAACGCTCCTGAGTATCGGTGTGATTGGACGCAATAAACAGAAAAGCAAGGCAGTATACTATAATATCCTACCGGATACGTCCTGATATTTGACGCTAGTGCGTGCTAAATCTGACGGGATGACCATCCCAGGCAAGCAGCCACCGGTACAATGGCACATACGTGGTGGATGTAACAGTGAGTGGAAATCAGAGATGCCCAAACAAGAGACACCGTGATGACGCTGGTAGTGGACGGAACTGGATACCGATAGTAACGCACGGAAACGGCGGACCAGCCGACCCAGTATGTGTTAGAACATAATAATCATTGAATTTTCAATGTCTGGGAACAGGTTCTCAGTCGGTCCTCTTTCAGCAGGGTTATAAAGTATCCACGAGATTCAATAAATCCGCTAGGTTTCCATGGCGGGGGAGTAGATGTATTGCTTATGCATTTCGTCTTGGAGTTACGTGCGAATATAAGACTCATTATCAGAACATTATCAAAAAATATCTCCAGTCCTGAGCTTACAGGCCACAAACAAACTCCTGATAATATGCTTTGCAAGTGAGGTTGGGCATAAAACGTTGTTTCGGCAAATCCATGAAGCCAAGAGTGAACTAGTTGACTCTTTACTTCGCATCATCTTGTAAACAACTGCAAGACTAGTGCCAGCGCAACTGATGCCCACAAATGCCAACAAACACCATTACGTTGTCCCATCGTTTGCGTAGGGACTGTGTTTTCTCAATTCGCCTCCCCATTTCCAGAGCACAAGCACAGAAGGCAGCCCAATACTTAGTGAAATAAATCCCAGAACGCTGTTGCCCCACCCGTAACCAAGACGATCATATAGATAAGGGGAAAATATGGGGAAAAAGCATCCAAATATCTGGCGAAGCATAGAGATAGCAGCTAATGCACTCGCAGCATACTTTCCATAGGTGTCAATCATATACATATTCACTGCAATGGCACATGTCATAGCAGCACCCATGAAAACGGCGGCACCAACATTGGGAAGGATCCAGTGAGTCCGAAAATCAGCACTCCATCCGTATAGAAATATGCCCGCTGCCTGGGTCAGGGTCGCGGCCGGCATCACTGGCAGGCGAAACTCTGGCAGATGGACGCCACCGTGCGTTGCGTAGAGATGCCTCTGTATGTGATCGATCACACGTGTAGAGACTTCTGCTGCAATGACTGAGCCGACAAAAAGAGATAGGTAATTGAGGGCCGCAATGCTTTGGCTTTCGTGGTAGATATCGGTCCACAACGTAGGGAAGTTAGTGTACAGTATATATATCACTCCGTACAAGATTGCATTGTAAAGGGCCAACATCTGAATGATCGGCTGCGTCGCGAGCATTTTCAACGGACGAACAAGGGCATTTGAGTACACCAGCGAACGAGGTTGGTCCAAATCGTCATGCTGAGTTTGGTATGTCCTACCAGTCTCTTTGGTCAGACGCTCTTTCTTTCGCCGTAACAGAACAGGTTCATAGGTTTCCCGTAAAGTGAAGACACTGGGAACCAAAATAAGTACATCAAGTAGAGAGGCCGCATAAAAGGCCCAACGCCAGGTGGTGTGCTGAGCTATTACACCTCCTAGAACAGGTCCAACAATGGGGCCCATAAGCGGAAAAATGCTGTAAATGGCTACTGCTCTTCCTCTCTGTTCCTTAGAGAAGAGATCAGAAACAACGCCGGTCCCGATCTACCCGTTAGGGTTAGCCTTATATTTGATATTAATCACGCTTGTAAACGACTTACGCCCTGGGACGCACTGCAAAAGAACCCTGCTAAAAACCGCAATACCAGCATAGCTGCTGTGGAATTAACCACACCGCATACTGTATTGAATATGAGGTATAAGAAGTTCCATGAATGAATAGTTACCTTGCGCCCGTGAATTTCAGACAACGGGCAGGCAATGAAGGGGCCAATCGCAAAACCAAGCACAAATATAGACAGTATTAGAGTTTTTTCCACATCATTATTGACGTGGAGTGTTTCGGCAATTTGGCTGAGCGCTGGAGCAATGATAGTCGAAGAGAGTGTGTTCATCAGCACGAAGGCCGAGATTGATATTGTCACTCTCCATTTCCGCGCACTGTCCCAGTTTCGAGGATTTTCTGTGTCATCTATAGAATCCCAAGTAACGAGGATGGCCTCGTTTGCAGTAGGGAGACCAGCTAAGTTTGCGGCATGTTTTCCCATGGCTTGTCTCAAAATCCCCGAGCGCGTCTATAGAGTTTCATTGCGAGAGCGTGCTTTTCCACGACGAAGACGGGTCTTCATGCAATTAAACAGAACGGAATAAGAGAATCTGCGTGTGAAACTATATTCGCCGGACAAAACAACTGATGGTCGAAAAGCAGGAAAGCACGCGATTTAAGAAAATAATAAAACAGTTGGAAAGGAAACACTGGCTCTCCCTATCTACTGAACTAAAGCAGATGGACCTAGAGAGCTGAACATTATTTCAAACTAATCCAGTCGGTTTGCTCATCCATATCCACAGGCGTTCCGCCGCGGTGACCAGCTGGAAGCTGCATATGCACAGTGACAACGAGCTGCAGCGGCGCGTTACTTGGTAGTTGGCTGTACTCTGTACTTTGTACATACATATTACTAGTGGTGGGGGCTCACCTAGGCGGCCTTACTAGGTGGACGTCCCCTCAGCTGGCGTCATGGATGTAGATCTCAGTATGTCTAGTAATAAGAATCCTGCGGGACCGTTCGGCCATCGTGCACTAGTTATTGGATGCGTTAGCGCTACTTATGGTTCTACTTAATATTTTTCTATTCCACTCAGAATTGATATTGCATGGCCACCGCCACAAGCGCAGCTAGTGAGTGAAACATAAACACTTAACGGGTAAAGTATACATAGTGACCGATGTTACATTACGCCGAACATGAAAATACCAAGATCTAGCAGTAGAGGTGACTCGGAAATGGAAGGTGCTAATCATCTTACCAATAGTTCAAATTTGACCCCGCTTTGACAGAGGCTAACCACATAATCTAAAATAGATAGCCCATGTTTATGAAACGGAGCGGCGAAGTAGGGTTGCAATTTATTCAATGTGGACTGTAGAACTCAACATAGGATTATAGGTTATCGACCACTAGTTGAAATTAAAGTGGAATTATCTCAAGGGGGTTTGTATTGTTTTCACGTGCTCGCAAGTGCATTCATTTTGTTATACCAGTAATACCTGCCCTTAACACCTACCATAGTATTCAATACCGGCAGAGCGTTGCTATAGCCAATACGCTGATAAACGAGACATGCCTATAAGAGGATCGATAGAGCAGATGGGCCATGAGAGATTTTCTGGTGATGTCGGACACGCTGTTCAACATTTTCAAATAACTCCTCTCACATTTGGCATCTTGTAAAGGGGCGTTTTCATCTTCATCTTTCGCCCTCTTTTCACCCTCTTTTCACCTCTTTTCACCTCTTTTCACCTCTCTTCACTCTCTTTCACCCATTCTGAGAGCATATCATGATTTCAAAAATCATTGACCCAGAGCGTGCAGTCGCCGATATCTTCAATTCAACCATTGCAGCTGCAGCTTTGGTGCTGCCTGGGAAGTAGGTTTACTTGATGAAGTGCGAGAGCAAAATGAGGTCAATGTGAACTAGTTCGCAATACAACACAATCTGGACCATGCCTCTGTGCAAGGCCTAGTTGCCGCGCTCGTCACTGTGGATGTGATTGAGCGTAACGGGGACGCGGTCACATCCGGCCCGCTGCTGGACGAAGCCTATCGGACTAAATCAATGTTCCACTGGCTCGCCCTAGGCTCAGGTGGGCTATTCTCCCGCATGCAGTACATGCTGCACAACGAGAATCGCAAGGGTGTCTTCTACAGCCGAGACTCTACAGCCATTGCATATGCCTGCCGCGATATTAACCGCCACCACTTCGACCCCGTCTTCTAGAGGGTCATGGAGCAGCTGGGTTACAAGTTCCACTCAGTGGTTGACCTAGGCTGTGGCAGTGGTGAGCGGTTAATGCAAATTCTCCGCCGGTACCCTAACACGACGGGCATTGGCATCGATATCGCCGAACCTGCCCTCAAAGTCGCCACAGTCGAGGCGATAGAACGTGGTCTCGGCGATCGGTTATCTTTCATGAAGGGCGACGCGCGCAATATGGACTACTGTGATAAGTTCGCTCAAGTTGACCTGTTGACGTGCTTTATGATGGGTCATAACTTCTGGCCTCGGGAAAACTGTATTGCTACACTACAGATGTTGCGGAAAGCGTTTCCCAAAGTCCACCGTTTTCTACTGGGAGATACGACTAGGATCCTGTTGGACGGACCTCGGTCCGAGCATGCCGTCACTGAAGCTAACATTCCTGTCTTTACCCTGGGCTTTGAATTTGGTCACGCTCTGATGGGTGTCTATTTGCCCACAATAGAAGAATGGCAAGATGTCTTCGCTGAAAGTGGATGGCGCTGTGTGAGCCGGAACTTGATCAAATCACCATCGCTCTCTGTCATCTTTGAACTAGAGCATGATCACTGACAGAGTTAATGGAGTGGGTTGTAGATAAGCTAAAACTCACTTCCAGTGCCCTATGCTTAGCATGCGTTTGTGGACCTAAGAGAGTGATCTGTAGGCTCGGCAAGCTCCTGCATGTGTGCTCAGTGATTCTTGAAAATTGTTACATAGCTCCTGTAATTATATTGCTTTTTACTATCATCTAGATATTGTGATTCACAAAAAGCTGTATGCTTGAACTTCAAGACTGAAAAAGTCCCTCATATTGTTACGATTTGCCTTGTTCTTCATGGGCACAGTTTGACCTACATGCGGTGAGTCACTTAATGAGAGGACGATGTTTTGACTTTTTAACACTGAAGAAGTTGCTTATTAAGTGCTACTTAGCGTTTGGAAATAACCATAAGTCCCAAAACAGATAATAAATATAATTCAAAGGCGAGATGGAAGGGAGTGTCACTACTTCTGACTGGGTTCATGATCAGTCACTCACGTAGGAGTGCCAGGTCAAGTTGTATAAAATTATCAGAGACGGAAGACACACAAAGCAATTTTTCGAGATACTAAGTTCCCTAACCATGCACGGAGATTTGAGCTAGAGAGTAAAAGATTTACATGACAATGTACATCTACCCATCTCAGCCGTTTATATTATGCTAAAAATGCGGTTAATATCCATCTATTAGTAATGCTGGGCTTGCGCAATTAATTGAACTCAACTGATGATTACCAGGGAGCATCGTTGGAATTTGTCGACCAAAGTGGGCCAATCGGTCCGACTTTGTTCCTTTGTTTTTTCACACATTCTTATTTAGTTCTCCCAGATAGATTCAGATAGTTAGAGACCTAAGAGACCTTAATTCCTCAATGCAGATCCATGATCCTTTATAGATTGGTGATACTAGCTCATACGCGTATTCAGCTAGCCGACAGAATTCATAGTGTTCTGGCGGTCTGTTCCGCCGTGACAGGTGGTATGCTAAAATATACTTAAGTGGAGCTTTTAATGTGTCTGAGAACGCTGATGTTTGATCATATGTTAGTCGTGGCGTGATGCTATTGGCCTCGAGTGTGGCCAATATGCACACAGGGATTTTTCCCAAGAATAGATCACAGGGACGTGGGTCTGCCAAGACATCGATATGCGTTGGCCGAATATGGAAGTTATGTGATTAATGTAGACGTACATGTGGTCTGCTTCCTCGATTTTCCCTTCCCTCATTCAGGGTGCTGTTATCATTTCTGGCCTAATGTCACATGCTGAACTACTGTATATGTTAATATGGCTAGTTAGTTAGTTTATCGGTGCTGACTACTCATATACTGGCGTGTGCCAGAATTCCACACTCACACCAAATGACTCATTACCCCAATTTACCTACAACACACACACATAATTGTTCGTACGCTCTGAAATTCTCTTACTGCCCAAAAGAAAGATTGCCATGGCGAGCATGGAGCCATCCGAGAGGCTGGCCCTCATTCAAGAAAATCTCGCTGAGGTCTTGAACTTCGAAGTGGTCGAGAAGATCATCGCTGAAGGGAACAACCCGAGAATATATTGGGGTGCGTCATCCATATTCCCTTGAGTTCAATGGCTGTATCGCTATAGAAAGTATAGGAGAACTGCGCTGACACTCACCATGGTTAGGTACCGCGACAACTGGCCGGCCCCACTGTGCCTATTTCGTCCCAGCCGTCAAGATGGCCCAGCTGCTGGCTGCTGGTTGCGAATTAACAGTTCTCCTGGCCGATATCCACTCGTTCCTTGACAACCTGAAAGCCCCGATTGAGCTGGTGGAAAGGCGAGTTGAATTCTACCGGTACACCATCACGGCCATTCTTCGAGCAGTGGGCGTGTCTACAGAGAAGCTCAAGTTTGTGTTGGGAAGCTCCTATCAGAGAAGTCCTCAGTATATCTTAGATATGTACAGGCTCAGCTCCCTGATATCCGAACATGATGCGAAACGCGCAGGTGCTGAAATCGTCAAACAAACCAACAATGCTCCCTTAAGTGGCCTACTTTATCCCGTTCTTCAGGTACTGGACGAACAATACTTAGATGTTGACGTTCAGTTCGGAGGTAGACAGTTTTCAAGTTTCGAGACAGGTTCTTGAATCTGAACTAACCAGTTGTGTAGGTCTGGACCAACGTAAGCTGTTCATTGCGGCAAAGGAGTGGCTGCCGAAACTTGGTTATAAACAGGTCTTCCTATCGCAACCCGTCTAAGTCGGATTATATTGACTGACCCTAGCGCGCACATATCATGAACCCGATGGTTCCTGGATTACATGGTGGGAAAATGAGCTCAAGTGACCCTGGTAAGGCAAATACCATGGCCCGTGTGACACATCTTGTGCTGAGGATCAGAAGACAGCAAAATCGATCTCCTTGATTCCCCTGAGGTTGTGAACAAAAAGATTCGCAAAGCTATCGCGATACCCCGAGTTGTGGAGGGGAACGGAATTCTAGCTTTTGTTGAGTATGTTCTGATGCCGGCATCTAGCTTGCGAGGACGTAGAGAATTCCGCGTAGACCGGGAACAAGATGGTCTGGAGCCGCTGGTCTACTCTACGATTGACCAGATGCATGATGATTACCGCAGCGATGTGGTATGGTTTTTAAGTCCTTCTCAGTCCAGAGATTGTAGCAGCAGTTCTGATCGGTTCTATAGTTGACCCCTCAGCTTCTCAAACCAGCTGTCGCTAAGGGATTAAATGCTCTATTGGCCCCAATCCAAGAAGCATACCTGGCTTCTAAAGAATGGCAGGAGATCGCCCTGCAAGCATACCCGCTTTCAACAAAAAAGGAAAAAAGGGTCAAGGACTGAAACCCTCGCTTCAAGGTAGAAGGAGAGTAAAAGTGCAGAATGAAGAGCCTCTGAAATTGGATGCTATAACCATTTCGGAGAATCCATACATGTTGGAGGGCGAAGGCTTGGCAAGCAGAATGACTAAGGATCCGGATAGATTGGACCACTAAAATGATCGAATGAAGCAATTGAATTGACTATATCAAACGAGCAAATTGAAGGTGTTGAAGACCTCCTTTCTGGCTATCTAAGGGGTCTATTTATAATGCTAAAATCGCTTATGTTGACCGCAACTCTATAGCTTCATCCTTTTTATTTGCGTAATACCGCAATATCGCTGCCGAGCAAGGCGATGATCGCTTTACCGCCATTGCTTAGTCAACTCCGCACTTCAACAGCTTTCGAATTTCGATAAAGGCCCGAAACCCCAACGACTGACAGTACTCGTTTTGTAGGACGAAGACTGCCATTGCGGGAGGGCTACCCAGACCGCACGGCACGTCCTCCTTGCCTGCCCACTCTTCAGGAAATTACGTGAACGATATTTGGCGAAACCCGGAGGGGGATTAGATGGAGGAGACGTGAAGACGATTCTGAACACGCCTGGGCTGACGGTCCGGGCGGCCAAATTCATGCTACGAACGGGGCTCCTTGAGCAATTTGGAGCTGTAGAACAGGAGCAAATAGATGAGACAGAGCACTGAGGTCAATGGGTATATAGACGCTGAAGAGGACTTGGCGAACCCTGGACAAATGCCCAAGTGGAGCCAAGTCCTCGGTTTATGCAGAGATCAGAGATGTAAATAAGTATTAGTACCACCCCTACTGCTCACAAGCGGTGGGGCGGTTCCCGCATAGCCATCGACTATGATAGGCTGGGACGGCGAATGAGTATTACCGATTACCGATTACTGATACCCTCCGGGCTTGGCACTGTACCCTCATACGCTCCGTAAGACATATAGTGTAGGCCCTTATATTGACCTGCACCCGAGAGCCTACGCCAACGAGGGAAAATCTGGGCCAAGCGAGAGACGTAATTTCAAAAACAAAGATCTCAAAGTACAGTACCGTAAACGAAATGCCGATGAACTGCAAATTGCGTACAGTCTGGGTTTAGGTGACAAGATATCACCACCTCGCTGGTTCTCGTATGCTAAGCAACCGTTTATATAACTCCAAACTTCTTCCGCATCTGATCTTTCAACATAGGAGCCGGAATGGTCAAAATCTTTGGCTTTAAGCACCCTGGTTCTTAGGGCTGTTCACGGTTTGCCGGTTTGCCGATTTTGACGATACTATATCGTTGACGATAATTATCGGCAGACCTTGCCTTTGACGATACTATATCGGCAAACATTGACGATATCGTCAAACCGTCAAAGCTACGTAATCAGTACTAGCTAGTTAGTTAGTTACGACCATGTGTTTCAGCTTGCCATAGTATATATTCCTGATTTTTAGCAACTAATATTTAAGCAGAGTAAACATCATCCATTAACATTAACATTCTTATCGTCTCTGCCTTTATGGAGTGCCGCCGAATCCCTAGCAAGTCTCTCCCCTTATTAAATAGCCTCTCAACTGTAACTTCTGAGGCTGGGATTGCAAGGAAGTCCCTTGCAGCTGCAGCCATTTGAGGTAGTCCATCTTTATGTACACGCCACCAATTACAAAGCCAATTTGAATCAGTTGTATCGACTATCGTAACACGAGGATTATCGAAATACTGGTCAATATCAGAGCAATATGGTATAGCTTTTGGTTGTAGGCGCTGAAGCATCTGAGACTCCACATTACTACACTGGATAATTAGAGTCAGCTATTGAGATGGACTAAATTCTTGCAATTGTCTCTCAGGAAGAGGATATCTCTGGTAGAGATTATCACGGATAGCCTTTAGAATAAGACTGCCTGCTTCTTTGTCTTCAATCTCATTCAGAATTAGGTCTCCCTTAACACGAGGATCCAGGATCATTGCTGCATAGTATATATAACATTCATCCATAAATGTGTAATATTTCTTATACTTTAATAGACCTTCCCTAATTGCAGAGGCAATGTCATGGTCTAGTCCTGCAAAAGCTCCAAGAGACTCAGATCCTTTATATAGTAAATTATGAAGCTCATAGTAAAGTGGTACAGCAAGACTGATCTGTAGTTTCTTCTCAGATAAGAATAGTGTAAGCTCATTAAACTTAGCGAGAACTTGGTATATTTGAGTAAGCCGGAGCTATTCACTATCAGTAAATGGAGGGATCTCAGTCTGCAGAGCTAGAAAATGATCAATTTGAGCTTTTGCTTTTAATCTATCATCAAGCATTCGATATGTGGAATTCCATCGAGTCTCAACATCATATTCGATATATTTGTCAGGGAGACTCATAAATCGGCAAATATCCTTCCATTTTTGCCTTCGCTGAGGGGTAGTTAGATTATAGGGTATCACGAAGGAAGGTCTTCGGAGGCTGGTCACAGTCCGTAACATGCAGGAAATATTTTCATTATAAGACTAGATTAGGCAAAGATCGGCATGAGAAGGTGAGATCATATGATATTTGACGATATAGTATCGGCACCTGAGGACTTTGACGATACTATTTGACGATCAAGATAGTCAAGCTTTGAATTTGACGATACTATTGACGATATTCGAAAATCATGACTATATAGTATCGTGAACAGCCCTAATTGCTTGAACCGTTCTGAGGGGCCCTTACTTTTATTCCCTAAACAGAAGGGACAAAGTCCGGCCGCGACGGTTGTATACCGAAAGGTCAGGATTCTACAACGAGGTTAAAGGTCCTTTAGATGGTGTTAACTGTCAGGAACCTTCCGGTATATTGGATCACATGACTCTGTCACGTGACCCACAGATAGCAGACATAAATAGTTTCTTCACGCAGAACAAGCTGCACTCCATGCAGCTTATTCTTCGTCAATGCATACCTACGTTTCTTGAGGTCAGTGCCTTACATTAACAGTGCCTGTCCCATTCATCTGTTTTATAAACCAATTCAGCACAGAGGTAACAGAACTGCACATATAAGCGCTGGGTACGGCAATAAACGCGTTTGCTATTCTTATAACATTGTTAGTAGGGCGCAGTATCCAAGTACTTTCGTTAACACTGTAAGACGTATTTTGCGCGATACTGTAAAGAAATGTTAAAAGAAAGTCAGTACACGTTATCTCAGCGGTAATAAATGCCAAATCTTAACATTTCTCGTGAACAGGTTGGATATCGGCCGTCTTTTAGTACCAATCCGGGATAATAAGTGACATTCTCCGTTGAAGTGCATAAAGAGATTATGTCGTGCAGGCATTGTTTACCCTCATTGCTGTCAATAGAAACTTTTTTGAAAATGTTGTCCCAAAGACGGGATCGTGCGGGCATGTACTTCTTATATATGTCGAGCAGACAGGTCGTATCGCGCTCAGAGAAGTCATTACCGGCAATATATTCGTTATAAGAAGCTTTCTACCACTGGGCGATAAAGGCTGACCGTTTAGCTTCGAGCTTCTTCGCCTTCCTGCTGTAGAGCCTACGACGTTCCAGGTCTAGATCCCTGTGTACCGTAGGACGACCTGCAATCTGTTTTGTTAATGCAGCAATCTGCTTATTGAGTGCTAAAGAACTGAAGAGAATTCTGAATACGCTAAATGGCGGAACCTGCTGCAGTTAAAAAATATAATATAGATTATACACTGGTAGAGGTAAATACGTGCCCAACCCGTCACAACGAGAGTACTGCCGGGCTCCTTTTTTTTAGTCCGTAGTGCGCCATAATTGCCTGCAGATCTTGGGCGGTTTAGGGATCTCCGATAGGCAAGTCCTCATCAGTGAGCTTTCTGAATTTAGGCGGCAGCTTTGTCTCGGGGTCATCTAGACCCCCCGAAAATGGCCAATCTGTAGTTAGTATTTGTCTGGCTTATGTCATAGGCATGTACTTGAACTACTTCTATCCGGTTTGGTCTTTAGGAAGCTCTTCCGAGTCTCGTGACAAGAGGCCTCGCAATTACTGAAAAAGTTCTTCCATTCTTGTTACCTAGTGCCGATATAAAAATCCCAAGGACTATTCGGAATGAACAGGCCTATATTTCGCCACACTCTACGGACGGGAAGATATAGTGAAACTACTCTTAGGCTCGGGGCGGATTTGGCCTCGAAGGGCTGTAGTGAGACACTGTATTTAGACCCTGAGACATCGAGGGTGGCAGTAGCATGAGAGATGGTCGAGGCGAGTCGAAGTAGTATTGACTAAAGAAATCTGTATGTTGATGTAACCTTTTTGGGGCGAGACCCCTCATACGAGGCAGGAATACATGAGGTATAAATATCCAATCAGTGGACAGTCCATCCGCATGTCTTACTCTTGATTGTATAGTGATGAAAGTACTATACAGATAGCCCCCACCAGAGTCCGGTGGGCTGTGATGTCCCTTCACTGCCAAGGGCTGTCATGCCCCTATGAATGTCGTTGGTGCCGTTTACACCAATGTGGGGCCTTTCGAAGCCCGAGTGGATCTTCTTGGGTTAGGTACATTAAGGCCGGGCTGCCGTCTGACCTTCTTTGTCTGTTGATCCCTGCTGGTGGGGATCTACCACAGCAGACAGCTAATCCTCTCGCCTACATCTGGTACAGCGTCAATTCATAGGATGTACCATGAACACCACCCGCCTCATCCTGCCCCACCCGGTCTAACCGTGGTTGTAAGAATGGGGCCTTGTACTAAAATACAACTGGTCTACCTTCTGTAACAGGAAGAAGGCGTTCGCTGTTTTAAGAAAAACTTCTCTTCGCTGCTTCATCGTGGCTCTTTTGTTTTCTGTTACTGCGTTGCTCTGTGAAGGCCTGCAGGAAAAACATATACATATGAACTAGGCAGATACCAATTATCTACGCTCAGATTTAGAAATTCTACCAAGCTGGTCAGGCCCGAAGAAAGAAGTAGATAATTAATACATATTTACCCTGAATTTGTATTCATTCATATAGATAATGATATCTATATCAAAGCAAGACAAACACCACACAACACAGGAAGATAATGTACAAATCCTTGTCAGAAGTCTACTACACCATCCCTCCATCCCGCTCCTGTTTCCCGTATCGGCTATAACATGGTAGTCACACCGGAATTCTGCATCTACTAATTCACTCTGTTGCCTTCCACATACACTGTGCCATCTCCGTCAAGCTCCATAGTCCCTTCATCTACCGTAGGATTATCGCGGGCTGGACGATGGATCACACGAACGGTGCCACCGGTGAGGTCTTTCAGCTCACGCTCAATAAGTTCAGCGATCTCTTGACTCTGCGGGATTAGGTCTCTGGCGCCGGGATCCGATTCGCAAGGATCAGGATGCGGGGAGCTGAGGTAGATTTTCACATCCTTCTTAGGACCCATGAAGGACCAATCCCTCTTCAACTTCGAGATTTGCTCATTAGCCTGAAACTTGGTGGCAGATATGTGCAACATCCAGTGCGGTAAAATGCCCCCATCTCCGGTGATAGCAATGCCGATACACGTTCGAAGTTTCACGGTATGAAGCGTTTGGCCATGCGGAGCATTTTGCATGCCATCCTGGGGAACCGGGGGACCTCTAGCGCGCAGGAGAAGATCTCGGGCTGTGATATCTCGCCGAGAAGGCTTTCGGCCCCGGGAAGAACCACCCTTGGAAGTTTTACATTTATCCTTGCCGTGTTTTGAGCCTTTGCCAGGGTTCTTATCACCAGGTTTGCCATTGCCATTGGTCTTCTTGTCATCATGGCTAAGCAGACCGCCGAGACCATGTTTTTTATCGTCGTGTTTGCCATTGTTCTTCTTGTCATCGTGGCCAAAGAGTCCGCCGAGACCGTGTTTTTTATCGTCGGATTTGCCATTGTTCTTCTTGCTATCATGGCCAGAAAGGAGAACTCCTACTCCATGGCTCCCTTTACCGCTGCCAGAGCGGTAACTGCTAATCCCTCTACCTTTGCCCGGCAGAGCAGAGGCTGATTGGAATGCAGACAGGAGCAAGAGACACAGCAGCCCGAGTGCCACGTGCCTCATCCAGAGGCCGGATACTTTCATTGTAACTAAAACAAAAGAAAGAAAAGAGCGATTGAAAATTTCAAAAGAAAGTGATAAAGTAAGGACTGACTGGTGATAATAGACAAAGGAATGATAGGTAGATTGGATTGATTCAAACCGGGAAATCTACGAGATATATATATGCAGAGTCCATTCGATCTCACCCCCCTATGTCTCTTAATAGGCATCAGGTTTAGGTAAATCCCTACAATGCTCAGACATGTTGAGGGGACAATGCTGGGATATTTTAGGGGCAATGTTTCGCCTATGGGAGTTATGGCATGATATTTAAGAAGTACAGCCAGACACGTTCCTGACCCCAACTGTCTCAGGTTAGGATACTGGCAGGGCACACATAGGTCTATACTTGTAGTGGTAGCCTGGTAGGGCAGAAGTTGGCATCTGACCAGAAAGTAATAGGTTTCCTGGGGCTGTACATCGATTTGTCAGTGACATTGAATATTGCCAAGGGATTTCTTCCCTATCGAACCAAACAGATCCTGTAGCTGGACAGGAAAACCAACATTGTAAAATGACAGGAGGGGGCCATGAGAGTTGATTGGTATATGGGACCTGGTCCCTGAATGAGGGGAGAACCACGATCGACCGGGGAATAGCTGGGAGCCGGGCCGGCGCGAATGGGGCGGACCTTCGACCAGATTCTAATTGAATCTCAGCTCTCCACTTGCAGTTATATAAGTAATGAAGTGTTGGGCCCAACCTACAGGGGTATACGGACCAGAAAATACCAATCTCCAAAATTACGTTACTCTGACTAAGCCTCAACCTCAGTCGGAGCAAGACTAATCATTGCTGGTCCCTGTCAATCTCTGTCAATCTCAACGAAAGCGCCTTTTATTAAATAACTTGACTTTATTTTTTCCTATATCCCTCTGAGAGAGCAAATTACAACAATGACCTCTTCGAACCCAGCCTCGCAACCGCACTTGCAGATATTCAACTATCTTCGAACATCTGAGAATGAAAACTCGACGTTCTCCAGTTTCTCCTTACTGCCCCCGGAAATCCGCAGCCAAATATGGTGCCACGCCTTAAAACAGGAACGCCTGATCAAAATCTATTTCCAGAAAGATTATCCTTTTACGCCAAAGCGACCCAAACCAGATGGCGAGATGCCGCGGTATCAGATTATGGTTGATGGACGGAAAACTCTAAGCAAGTTGCTAAGAGTTAATCAAGAATCACGGCAGACTGCACTGCGCTTTTACCGGGTGAAAATCCCATGCAAACTCAGCCATTGTCCAGAGGACGAGTACGTCTACGAGGCAATTAGAAAACCGGTAGAAGCAAAACTGGGAGTTTTATACTTTAACCCGGAATATGATTTCCTGGAGATTGCATCCGAGTCATGGAGGGGGGACGATCTGTTTGATCTGGTATATCATCTGAAAAAGATCGATCCGTTTCATATCGGATTACTTAATCTAGCTATTGGGGGATTGGGTAGTCTGTCAGCGACCGACCTTAAGCAAATCGATCCTGTGGATGTTAATGCTCGAATTCGGCAAGTCTTTCAAGAGACCCTTGCGCAGCTACGAGAAGTCTTTTTTATCACCAGAACGAGAGCAGGGCGTCATATCTTGGGATCAATAAGCGGTATCCCAGTGGCTGATCCCCGTAAATGCATCTTTAATCGATCGTTTCCAATTGCTACCGCGACACCAGTATTTGAGCGCCTGCAACACGACACTCGCTCGATTTCAGAAGATCTGAAACAAACGCATGTCGGAGCTGGACCGATGCAGATGGCTTATTACTGGCAAAGCCTGTTGGATAGATGGAGTGTTTCTGCTTCCAAGATTATCTACCAGTTTATCCTGGCCTTTGAACCAAGTTGGTCGAGTCGCGATATCCTGGACTGCGAGAGTGCCAGCCGATGGTTGCAAGTAGAAGAGGACGAGTGGACTGGGAAATGGCGGCTCGATGACGAAATCAAAAATGGATGCTGGGCTAAACGCAGCCCGGGCATTAAGAGTGAATTTTATTATGAGATGGTGGGCGCCTTAGATGGGGAGAATAAATATGAGGATTTAGAGAAAGCTGTAAAGCCCGTGTTCGGCTTTTGGATCTTTCCTCTCCGGTTATTCGGGAAGATTCCATCTTCAGAGAAGGAGTGTTACGAGGTGGATGGTAAACAGACTTTAGATCTGTCTGATTATTTGCCTGGGCTAGGCATCTCATTGTTTTAGCCTATATGAAGTTTGACTGTGAGCGGAGTATTATTCTTCGGTTTTACCAATTCTAAGAGAGCTACGCAGTTATCTTGCGACATGTCGATATCGAATGAGTGAGACCTAGATATAAGGAAGGTAGCTTTGGATACAGTAGTTAGAATTATTTTATAGTACACATTTGACCGTTCTGTATAGTGTCAAGTAGGGATGAAAATAATTTACCTATTTCTGCTACTTAAAAAAAAGGTAAATAACAGGTATTTATAGCGTTAACTTCTTGATATATTTTACTAAGTACAGTAAAGTGTCATCGATACCATACACACTTCGATATCATTGAGTGTCGCGAACTTTCTCATACTCAGGAAGAACCTATTTCACTATCCACTCAGATTCAAGGACCTGTTGAGCAGAAGGACGATCCTCCGGCCTAAAACGAAGCATCCAGTACAGCATTGAGAGCAGAGCATCTCGTTCGTTTGGGTCAAGAGGCGACATTTTTTTCTATCTCTGCGGTCGCCGTATGCTTATTTTAAATTATTCTTCCTATGATTCAACCGGCTCTTCATGCGTGGTGGATTTTTCTGAATAGGCCTCCGATGTTTGCGACTATTTAGTCGGTAAGGATCTAAGCAATCTAATTTATTGGTAAGTTATATTATCTTGGTTTGTCAAAAAGTAGTCGAATAGTGATTTCTGTGCAATAATATCCCATATAGTGCAGGCAAGTGTCTATATATTAGAAGAGAAAATAAAAGGTTTGACTAGTTCAGATCGGTCCTCTGAAGGGCGGACTAGGAGAGGCGTGTGAGATTTGAATTTCTTCTCTTGTAACGAAGAAAATGCTTCGCTAAAGTCTAAGAAATAGATTCTGGATTCTGGGAGGGCCATTTCTTTATTTGGTTCTCCGAGTCAAATCGGTATAATATCGTGTTACGGGACGCCTATTGGGAGCTGTTGACCGTCGAACTGATGGACTGGCTTCAGGACCGGCTCTTTATACTTCTTATATGAAATCAAAGCCCCTCAACGCCATACAAATGAAGTATATTATTTCGTTCTAGGTAGTCAATTTAGCTGAGCATTTCAACCGATTATGGCCTTCCCTATTACAATTGCTGCAGCGTGGTGGCCGGCGTGTAGAGGTTGAAGCTGCTGCATGATTTGCTATTTCTCTCTCTTTCTTGAGTTTTTTCATGGCCTTCTTGACCGGTCAAACTGCTTCCTTCTTGAATAAAGCGTCGTGAGGCCTTTTTCTTATTGTACCTGCGTTTATCTGCTGTACGAAGCTGGCGTATTTCTTGTTGAAGCAGAACAGCGTTTTGCATTGTAACCTCGGCACCTTTTATGACTTTTTCAAGCATTCTTTCCGCAACAAATGATGATAATCCTTGATCTTGAAGTGCTCGCAATTCCTTCTTCTGATGTTTTAGCTGGTATAGACTTGCTGGTGTTTGGCCAAGATAATGAGAGGAAGAATTGGAGTGCGAAGAAGATGGTGGTATTGGTGTTTTTAACTGAATCCGAAGCTTTGAAAGAACTTTTACTGGCTGTAAAGGAATCAATCCTGTTGATCTAAAGCTACTGAAAATATTCGCTTTAGAAAAAGCACGATTGTGTATGTGCTCATAGTGCCATAAAAAGTCTCGTTTATCAATTGTTTCATAGCCGTTCTGAATAGCTTCACGGATCCGCAGGCCATAGTACTGCTTTAATGGTCCAAAACAGCTCACATCAAGCAGTTGAAGCTTATCTGAGGATTGTAGAGGCATATAAAGAGGAATGATCTTCTTTGATATGCAGAATTGGTCAAATTCAAGAGTTGCATGGCTTGAATGGCCATCAAGAATTAAGAGACGGTATTGACCAGGTCGCGCAGGTCGCCGGGAGTCGCCAGGGTCGCCGGTTTAGAGGCACCCACCCGACTATTGACCGCACACAAGCCCTCTTGAGTCCGCTCAGTTAATTGTCGAAAAGCCCTTAACTCAAATATATTTCTGAAACGATCTTTAGATCGGGTGCCAACGATGGGGGTGCTCTGCTTATGTACGGTCGCCGGTAGTCGCCAACGTCGCCGGTGATCGTCAATGGTCGCCGGTGGTTGCCAGTGGTTGCCAATGGTCGCTGGTGGTCGCCAATGATTAGAACCAGAAAGGTTTAATGAGCTGAACAGGGGTTTTTTGAGCTGGTTCAGAAGCTGTCGATAAATAGGCGGAGGCCTTTGCGATTTTATTGTAACTTCTGAACTTGTTTTTACCCTGCCTTGCCGAACTCTGAATCCTATGTGGAAGCATGGAGGAGTCTGGTATTCAGGGGTGCGGATGCACACCGGAAGCTAGGCTAAATACTAATGATATGCTGACTAAGGCTGTGCAGCCCGGCACCCAAGGACAGAGGAAGAACCCATGTTCCGACATCCTATGTTGGAACATCGGGACGTACCCTTCCGCCTGCCCTGGGGTTCGAGCTCGCTTAGTCATCACTTAGTAAGCTAGAT